TCGATGAAAATAGTCAGTTTTAAGTATTGATTGATTCCATGGACTTAGCTTTGTGCTAGATCAATGAGCACATTCATGATTATTTCAAATATCTATCATAGTCATTATGTACTCTTGCTACTATTATTATTGGTATTTAGATGACGGTGAATTAAGTAGAAAGGAGTTTGTACACGTTTTAAAATCAAGAAACTCACGCGGTTTGCAAAAGGTAAGTATATTAGTTTAACTTAAGATGATTCTTCTCTCCTTTAGTCACGAGAATTAGGACTAGCCAAACTAATGAACTCTGTTGTGGCTTGCTCTGCAAAAGCAGTCAAAGATAAACTAGGGATTGAAGCTTGAGCTAGTGCTATGGTGTGGTCAATCAAGTCAGGATTATGAACATTTTATATTATAACAGAAATATCTTTTAGTGATGGCAGGATAGAATAATATTATATAATTGATTTTTTATGTACACCCATTCTGTTTGAGTAGCAACAATACAGAAACATATGATTATACTTAATTTTATGGGTGACTTGACATTTTGAACACATACACACACACATGCCCTCACATATTGTGTGGGGATTTGTGCCCAATACAAAAAGTGCCAGGAGTACTCTTGATAATGCCAAAGATCAATTCTTTGTAATCTTTTATGCTCTTTGAGCCTTTAACTTATCAATAACAAAAAGAAATAGTCCCATTTAATATGCAATATACTGTAACTCATTGTATGTTAATGAATGTTCATTTCTTCATAGAATTCCGATTTGTACAACTACAAATCGAAATAGTTGTAGAGCATTCCCACCTGTCTACATGAACCATGGACCATTAAGTACAAACCTAAAACATTTAAATAAAACGTAAACCTAATAAAGCAGATACATGTAATTTAGTTTGGTGGTTGCATACAATGAATGTGGTTTGTGTCGGGCATGTTTTGGAGTATTTCTTAGAATTGTTAGATCTGTACTTTTACAAAATTAGAAGAAATAGTTTGATACACACATAATGTCCTCTCTCTCCTCTTTCTCTTTACTTAATCCAATTGATCTGTAGTTTAGTGTTATGGTATCAGTTCATCACTCATAAGATAGTAAATTTACTCAGTATTTATGATTCACCTAACAACAGATCCAAAACATCTCAATACTCAAGTCAAGTAGTGAATTGGCTATGGCTGATACTTGACAATGCCCCTGCAATTAGGTCCCAAAAGAAGAGAGATATAACTAGAAGACAGGAGCACTCTAGCAATGGTACCAGAAATTAGTTCAAAATGACAACTATATTGCAAGTTAACTGACTTTAAAGGTTAGATTCTATCTACAAAATGAATTTAGGCAAAATGCCTGTAATTATACTCCACAATATTTCCATATTTGGAGAGTTTGAGCTGCCTATATATAAGAGAGCTAATGTTGCATCAGCAAGTATACTGTAACTGTTAGTAAAGGCAAAAGTATGTCTCTCCTGTTAGTGGTTGTTCTCTTATTCTTCAGTAGCTCCTGCAGTGTCTCCTCTGGTCAGTATTATGTGTCTGATGACTGCAGTTCAGTTGCTCATAATCCTTGTCATCCTTTATCAGTGTATGCTGGGGATATGTCTCAATACAATAACAACATCTTCTACTTCATTGGAACCAGTGACATTAATGATGATGTCAACATGACTGCAGTAAGGAATGTTACTCTACATGGACTGGATCAGGCCTGTCTTATTAGTAGCAGGAGTAATGAAAGGTCTATTCTCATCTATAACAGCAATCATGTCATTATTTCTAACATTTCAGTGTATAATCTTGGAGTCATTGCTAGATCATCGAACAATATTACAATAACTAACTCCTCATTTAATGGCAAGACAATAAGATTAAACAATGCTTTTGATGTTAAAGTATCATCCTCAGTTTTCATTCATTATGGTGTATATATTACGTACAAGCCTCTTCCAGTATGCAGCACTGAACTACCTCACTACTCACTAATAGTGACTAATGTCACATTGAAGCGCAGTGAGATGACACTATCTACTTATCATGGTGATTCATACAATCTGTCAGCCATTTTTTATAACTATCATAATATACTTCATAGTCAATCTAAATTTGCTTTGGGTGGTAGCCTTTTTTATATATACATTAAGAACTCATTATTTCAATCAGCTCCTAGACTTGGTGTTTACTACGGCTTTTTTATTACATTTGGTACAAAAATGAACCCAAAGAAATGCAAGTTTCCTCTTATTCAATTAATTTCTACTTTTGTAATTGAGGTTAGTCAATTTAATGATGGTTTGCATGGAATTGGAGTAACTAGTTTTCCATACTTACCAAGAACACTTAGCAATCACTTTATTATCATTATCATTAAGTCGTGTTTGATAGCTAACAACACAGAAAGAGGCTTACAGATTAATAAAAGATTCTTGACATTGGTCCAAATCAATATAATAGATACAGTATTTATTGGAAATGAAGCTAATTTGATATTGAATAGTAATTCTATTAGTTTCAGTAATGTTACTTTTGCTAACACTCGCTCAACAGGATTGACACTTAAAGCATCAGTAGTAACAATTGAGAATAACTTGATATTTAAACACAATACTGGAGTAGTTGGAGGAGGATTAGCAATAAATGACTCATCACAATTGATAGTATCATCATCTGCTAACTTGGAGTTTATTAGTAATCATGCTTCTTATAAAGGTGGAGGGATCTATCTTGAACATACATCAGAGAGTGCCATAACATTAGAGGCACCAAATATACCTCTTACATTAATAAATAATAGTGCTGGAGCATATGGTGATGATATATATGGATATACTGATGATAGAAGCAATCAGTTCAACTTGACAAATCGAAATATTAGTTCAACAGGTGATGCACAGAAAATACATTTTTGTACTTTTAATAAAAAAACAAGTGACAAACTGATTTATCCAGGTCAAGCACTAAAGTTTCATATAGTTTTGCTTGGTTATGATTACTTTGGATCACTAAATGTCACTGATGGTATAATAGAAATACGTGATGGACTCACTCCAGACAGTGCTCATACAGTCGATCATGTATATGCTAGATCTAAGCCTGGTTCTAATTGTTCATCGCCGATTGAATACAAACCAAACCATCCTCCCAGTCATGTAAAACATGCCATGCTATTTGCTATTAAACTAAACTATCCCATTTTTTGGGATTATATTGTTAATGAATGTCCCATTGGTTTTAGTGTAGATAGCTCAAAAGGTAGAGTTATCTGTGCTTGCAGTCAAAGTGTTTCAAGAGAGAATGTGACATGTAATATAACTAGTCTAAACATTACACACAAAGGTCTACTGTGGATTGGAACATATGATACCAGTACACCTTTCAATGCTAATGAAACCAATCCTAATGCATGCATTATCAATGAGGACTGTCTCCTCTATTGTTCTCCTAATCCTGTTACCTTCAAGTTGAATCACACTGAT